CCCACCCCCACCCGGCGCGACCTAGCCCCCGCCGATAAGATGCTTGAGGATATCATTCGCCGGTCGGTGGGCCCGGTTCTCCTGTCGACCGGTGTGAACCAGATGCTGCAAGTGACTGTGCACGTGGTGAGCATCGGTCCCAAGGTGTATCCCGCTGCCGCTGGTGATGGGCCCGCGGCGCGGACCATCAGCGCCGGATCGACGGCCGGCCTGGCCCAAGCGGACCATGCCGCGCAGGTGAGCGCGCCGGTTCCGCTGTCCGTCATCGCGGCTGCTGTGAATGCCGTCTTCCTGGCGGCCCTGGATGCCGGCCTGCCGATGCGCAGCTCGCTGGCTGCCTGCTCGGTGTCTATGATCCCCGGACTGGGCTGGATTGCCGATGAGGCGCTGGGCCAGTCGGTCCTCGGGGCGTCCGACCTGGATGCCGACGCCGAGGCCGCATCGGACTTCCTCTTCGTCTTTACCTGTCGCGATGGGCACATCGATCCGGACCAGGCGGGGCCGCTTCTGGTCGAGGCGCTGGCTTTCTCGCCCTCGTTCACCGCCGCGACAGCTGGGTTCTCCACCGAGTCGGTACGCAGCCCTGCAATCATGCCCGCGTATTTTGTGTCCCGCCTCCGTCCGCGCCTTCATCCCATCTCCACCGCATCATCAAGCTAACGAGGCCGCCCGCCCGCCCGCCCGCCCGCCCGCCCGCCCGCCCGCCCGTGCACTTGCTGTCTGCCTTCCTTTCTCTTGGCAGTACCGGACTGCCCATGAGCTGGCGAAGGCGCGCTGCCACGAGACCCACTCGCTGGTCCGGCAGGCTTTGGCCCAGCGCCTGGCCAGCACCGACAACGTCCTGTCCGAGGCCCTTGCTGCGGCCAGTGTCCGTGACAGCAAGTAGTGCAACACACCCACCGGGGCGCTGTTTGTCCTTGCTGTGGACCATGCGTGCCTCCCCCCTGCCCCCCTCTCGCCGCCCAGGGGGGCAACAAAAATAGAAAGAGACAAGTCTATGTCGGCGGTCTGGGCGCGGCCCAGTGGTGAGCGGTTTCCCCCCTGGCCCCTGTCTTCCCTTCTTCAGGACGGGTACATGCGGCAGATGCCTGCTCTTGGTTTGGCGGGGCGCGCCTGCAAGGTGTGTGTGCGTGTGTGTGTGGTGGACATGTGTAAGGGTATGAAGAGAAATCCCATTTTATTGGCATGTGTGGGTGCAGCAACAGGAGAGGGAGAGCAGGGAGGAGGAGGGGTGACGACAGGGCAGCGAGTGCCCCTCGCCCGGCCCCCATTCTCCGTCTAGCCCCAGGGCATCGTCAAGCGACGACGACCCAGGCCGAAGACAACACACCAGAGTGCGGAGTGCTTATTTTCCGGACTTCTTGATACCACCGGAGGCTGGTGTGTGTGTGTGTGTGTGTGTGTGTGTGTGCATAGCGAGGAAAGGCGGCGGGAGTTAGGATGCGGGCGCAAGCGCAGAGACACCATCGCGCGCCAGGGCCGATGGCCGTCGCGCGGCGAAAGGGCGAAAGCAGACTGGGAGAGGCACGTACTGAGGGGACCCTTGCCACTGGCCTTGGCCTTGAGGTCAGCGATCTTCTTCTGCTCCTCGCGCTGCTTGTTGCGGAAGGCAATGTCATCCTATGGGTGGAGGCAGTGCACGAGATGAAAGTCGGAAAGAAGGGGGGAGGGGAAGGGAGTCAGTAACCAGTACGTCACCGGTGCTGATGAGGGGAACTTAGGGGCCAGCAAATGCGCACTTCATCGAGGTCCATCTCCTTCTTCTTGGGGGCCTTAAGGGGCTTCTTCTTACCAGCTGAGAGAGCGCGCATACGAGAGGGGAGGG